GAAATTCGTTCAAAGACATCATGCGTATGAGAATGAGAAAGATGGACAGACAGCCAACCCAAAAACATGGCGCCTCCGGCCACAGCTGCTGCCGACGCTGAGGCATAAAATCAGATATAATGAGGTGCCATAGTTGATGGCTCATCCTGTCATCCAATATTTCCACATTATTAATGGAGGGATATTGATCAGTGTTCTAGTTTACACTCCATTATAGAGGCAACCACTTAAAAACATTCTGGGCTGACAGCACTGACATCAAAACTAAAGCCGCTCATCATTCTGACAAGGTCCTTTTGTACGTAGAAGTGTTTGGCACACAGGAATAGATAAAGTAAGCTGGAAATTACATGTAGAAATTTCCCCCATGCAGAGTAATATGTAGTTAAAAACTTTAAAACTGCACGTCCAAGAAAATGTAAAATATGAAATTATTTAAGGGACATGAGAGGACGCTGGTCAACTTGACCACAGTCGCTTTCTAAATTTAGACAGGTAGTTACTTTGACTTAAGCCTTGAGCCTTTTTCTCAACCAAGTCATTTTGTGCCTAACTAATACCCTTTATGGTTTAGGCACAAGTATAGTTAAAGTCGGACAGTAATTTGGGTTTAACTGCATCTGAAGAATGTGAGGAATAAAAGGTATACCAAGTGTAACACTTAATCGAGGCTGTAGACCTCAGTTTATCATCAAACCTTCGTGTTTTGACGGGACAGTTGTCTATAATCTTGCTGATAGTGGTATTAGATAAAGAAGGATGAGACATTTCGTTGTTTAAACCTGCAGTATGGAGCTTAAGCGTCCCCCTTTCATCAGTGAGAATAATAATCAGCTCTGACAAACCAGTTTTAAACTTTGTTGTGCGCTCGCATGGGAATGTCGTAGCAGACAAAAAGATCTAAAACTGTGGTATACGTTGAAACAGAGAGAGATTTACCTGATGATGTGACGGTTATGATGAGCTTAATGAGCATTGTTTGAACTTGTTTGTCAACGGCTTGAATTTGAATGTGTAAAAGTCCCGGGCCGCAGCTTTAAGTGTTTAATGCTGTGACATATAATAAACCGTCAACCCATGTTTGCCCAGTAGTTTTCCAATAACACTGTATGTCTGTACATCATACTGTTGCTCAACTGATAGGCTTAGGCTTGTGGTGCGTCACAGAGAGCTCTTCTCGTTCCAGTCATGTTCTCTGCATTGCTGCTACGCCTTCACGTGTTTCTTTATAGCTTTGATCAATGTGATGCTCACGATACACGGTTATACAAAAGAAGGAGCTGGTGCTCACGGCTTGATTCAGTCTGTTATTTTGCTAAATGACTTGGGTTTTAACACCACAGTGTCTCCATCAGAGTTAGAACACATGTTCCAGCTGCATTTTGCTGGAATTAGTGTAGAGCGAGCCTCAGTTTTTACTAGACACATGGCTGTTTCTCTTATTTAATCCCACCGATCCCACTGAAATAGACACTTTTTATGAATAAAATAAAATAATGAACTCCACACTGTGTTCTCCAGCATAATTATGATGAAGAGCTTAATTAGACCAGTTAGTGTACACTGAGCTACACACTTTATCAGTCTACTCAATCAAATCTGATGTAAAAAAAATCTTATCACACAATCATTGCTTCAATCCTGCTACTTTTCAGCAAGGGAACAAGCTTCTTCTTCAACCTAAATCCTCCATCCACGTTTTAACACCTGATTCACCTCATCCAGCGACTAAAACTAGTCCAGAACTCTGCAGCAAGACTTTGAACAGCATCAAGATCTACAGTAGATCACACACTATATTGGTTCTTTTACATGGTTATCGATTAGTCTTATAAATAGATGTTGTTAAGTTACAGTCTTCACTTACAAAAGATTATAAGACCACCTGCTTTAAAACTGAACCAGTGGGGTTAACTGTTTCATCTCCCTAAAGTAATGATGACATCAAATCCAATTTTAACTGAATACACAACAGACCTTTCATAGAGAATTCTCCTTCTGTAATTTAACTTATCGCAGGAGAGCTCAAACACCAGCAGAGATCAACAGTTTTCTCTGCACTTTTACAGTATTTTTGCTGTTTCGCTTGAAGCTTTTTAAAGCTTAGTTCTGGCTACAGTGCACATAGAATCCTTCAGACAATATTGTTTGCTCTGTGGAGCTTGAATGTCAACCTGCACTTCTAAAACTCCAATGAATTTGATTTGCCAGCACCTAAAACCTGCAAAATTTAAAAGAAAATATTGATGATCTCATGAGCTTTCACATCAGTGTCTCATTCAAAATTAACAATAATTCAAATTCAGCTGACGTCAGCCTGAATCTTGGTTTTGACGGCTGATTTATGAGACACAAACATGCACACGGAGTAGAGAAAAGGCGTAGCATGCTAGCGCTTAGCTAGTTTGCCATCACCTGAGAGATCAAAACATGAAAACAAAGCCTCAATTAGATTATGGTGATAGAGAGTGTATTAACTCAGTACTTAAAGAGATTTGTAGGGTCACGTCATGGCTGTAGGAAAGGCATTTAATATGCTTTTGTGCATATTCTATGCATGCAAACATGCACACGAAAGCTGGAGGAGGTCTCTTGGGACTGAGCTGAACTGCTGACATCAATCATCAAAAATATGACCGACATCGCTGCGTGATCGAGATCAACCTGAGCCATATGTGTTCTGTTAATAAGTTTAATAGTTTTGTATTAGAGCAGGAGTCCACTATGCCTTGCATGCTCACTTTCATTAATGCATTGTGTGTTCGCGTGGGTCATTTGGAGGGAAGGAGGCTGGCAGTGGGAGTAGATTACAGCATTTAGGATATTAAAGTGCATCTGAA